AAGTTTTGCATTTCATCAACAGACAAACTGTTCAGAAACATTAGGTTTTAACTCATTTTTCCTTTTTAAAAACTTTGACCTATTATCAACATATTTGGAAAGGCATACTGAGAAGTGATGCTTTTCTTTTTGTTCATAATTGGTTGCACTTTTTCCTATATATATTTCAAAAAGTCTATGTGATACAACTGTATTGTTTATAATAGTAAAAACTAGGAGACACTATATTATGCACTGATTATAATGTGAATTTCAAACATGAATGGGATAAATTATGTTGAATATTTACTTGGGTGAAAAATAGGAGTTTGTTCCTATACACAACAAACATTTTTCAGATTTCAAAAAGAAACCAATTACAACAATTTTCATTTTTAAAATAAAATGTTCATTTTAAAATTGTTTAAAAGCTATTTCAAGTAACAGGAAAGTTATCATTTTAATGCCATAATTCCTCACTAATACATACTACAGGAATAATGATACTATATATATGTACAGAAATGAAAGCATATATACACATATATGCATACAAAAGGCATATTTTTGAAATTTGTGAGTGATGACTTTGAGTTTATACCTTTTACTAATTTCATGTAATATGTGCTTTAGTCAAATGAAAATTTCTTCACTTGCACAAAAATATATATGTTCAACATTTCTGAATACAGACAAGAAACTTCCCTTGAAAAGGAATCACTTTATGATTTGCCTTTGCATTGTACAAAATTCCCAGTGACTGTGTGTTGTACTTCAATGTCCAGACCTCCAAGGCAGTACACCTCTGTTTTTATTGCTGCCATGTTTCTTCAAAGCATTCACTATTTATTCACATGTGGCCTTTCTCTGCTCATTGTTTGAACAAAAATAGCTCAATTTGATGAGTGTCAGATGTAGAGTAGTTATTTCCTTACTAAGTTTAAAATTATATCTGTTTCTAACAATAGCAACTGTTTTCTATAATTCAGTAATTGATGCAGCATGCAGTAATCTGTTTTCTGGAAATTGTAAGAGGATTTTTCACTTAAAGACAGAAGGTGAAAGTGCAGGTTAAAGTAGCAGCTGTTCTTCCATACCTGTGTTCTTTAGTCAATATGCATCTATTTTTTATATATTTAAGACTGTAAAATAAAACCCAGCATAGATTATGACAGGACATCTCTGAATTCTTACTGAATTTGCACCAATCCAATGTGGGTGACAAGAACAATTAATTACAAGAAGTGTACTTGAAGAACTGGGGCATTATTTCAAGTTATGTAATTTAGGCCATGATAGAAAATTACGCTTAAACATATTTCACATGCCAAATGTTATCAATAACATGATGGCCCTCCGTGTTTCTCCTGGGAAGCCAACTTTGTGTCAGCTGATCCTTTACAGACTGTCGTTCATTCGAGCAATGTCTCACCTAACAGCTGATACAAAACATTTTGATCCAGTGATGCTGGCAATTTGCTGAGATGTATACAGAAAGAAGTTGGTGGGATAGAGGTCTTTCTTTTTTTCAAATGGAATTCTTTATAAAGTCAGAGTTGGTTGTTAGTATTCAGGATGCTGCCACAGGTGAGAGTCCTTCTGCATCTGACATTTGCCTCTAATCGTGGATATGGCTGCTGTTATCTGCCACATCCATCCTCAGGTTAAGGGTTTTTTTTTTGTTGTTGTTTTTTTTTTTTTTTTAATTTTTATTTGAGTATCTTAAGCTGTCAATGCATGGTCTGAAATAGCCTTCATAGTCTTTGGGTACAGAGGATTTAGCACTGCATTTTATTCTTGATAAGTTCAAAGCATGACTTGATTTAAACCATTAGCTATGCGACCAGCCTCATATTTCCACCTTCTCTCAGTAATGCTGTGATCACTGTTGAGAAATTTGTCACTCACTTAAGAAGAAAGTTTAAGGTTAGGTTTTGTTTGTGAAGAAAAATTCTTACTTTAGAAATTGTTCCAATCTTTTGCCCAGCAAGTTTGATAGCCTTCAGAGTATTCTATGGTAGTCATTTCTTCTGTTTAACCTCACAGGCTTATAAACAAGCAAAGCAGAGTATAGATGTAAATGTAACTTTTCAGGAAAGATCATTTGGTGATTATTTATGCAAAAGGCAAAATCTTTTTAAAGTTTCATTATTGTTGCAGTAGACCCTGCAAAACAAACCTATATAAACTCTAAATAATGGGAAAATCAGGACTCACTTAGTAATTATTATGTAGCACCAAAACTTTTGAAATGCTGGCAAATTTAATTTTACAGATGTGCTCATGTTTGGTAACCATGATATTTGATCACTGCTGAATAATATAGATTGCTTTTTTTTTAACAGGAGTCTCCTAAAAGAAACCTTTTAGAAGACCCTTTAGAAATTTTGCAAATAAAATCTCACATTTAGTTGTTGCCAGGAAGCTGATTGGCATATCATATTATGAGACCACACAAGGATTCTTAGCACACCTTCTTGAAACCTTCAATATTTGCCTCTTCAATACTATTGAAGAGGCAAAAATAGACTTTGTTCTTCCCCTTATAAACTTGGAATGATCTTTCACTTGGTAGTATTCTCTCAGCTTTTTTGGCTCCTGGCTTTACGTTCATCTTAGCAACAGCTTTATTCCAATCACATTCTTTGTCCCAGTAGTCTACATGGGAGTATTATTCTGTTCCTGGTCCTGTGCAACACTGTGTATTCCTGACAATTCCTGACAAGAGGTGCACTGTGCAGTGTCAGTGCACTGCCGTGGAAGGGACGTGGGCCTTTAGTGCACTGGATTCTCCAGGACTCCAATGGTTGTGCAGGACAGCAGTACACTCAGTGATCAGGAGATGCTGCTGGAGAGACCTGCTGTTTGCAGGTTTAAGTCAAGTTGGAGCTGGTTGCGCTGCAGTGGAAGCTGGGTGAACTTGGCACACAACATTTTCAGGTTTTAATTCCACTTACTAAATATGTCACATTTCTGATAGTGCCTTACAGATTAAATGACCTTAACTTATGGAACATAAATTGCCAGTTGCTGCCCATGCATTTCCAAATTGCCTGTGAAAGTTGATGAACACCTTGCTACTCATCAGTGAATTTCACAATACAAATATCTGAAGTTTTCTGTTATAATATTATAATTTCTGTCAGAATGTTAATAGTTTTCTGTCATAATATTGAGTCAGAACATTATAAAGTATTAGTTCATTATTAGTACCTGCACTTCCACTATATTTAGCACAATGCCTTTACTCCAGGGAAATGTTAGCTGACCATATATTTATAAATAACCTCAATTTCTGAATCCCAACTCACTAAAAAATAAATGTCTGAAAAATTATATTAAAGTGAGGCTTGCAAACCAAACTTCTGCTTGAATGTGAAACTAAAAAGACAGATGGAAAGCAACCTTAGAAGTCAAAATTCCAAAAATGAAACTCAAAGTTAAAATCTTAACATGAGGTTAAGTTAAAATCTTAACATGAGGTTATTTAAATATGAAATTAAATATGTGACCAGAGAGGAACAAAGAAGGCTTATCTCCCTGTCCATCTGGCAAATGAATGACTGGAAAGATCATATCCTTAGAAGTGTTCTTGCAAAACAGCTCACTGGGGACCTGACCATAATCATGTGGATTGTGAAATGTTTGTTGCTCTTGTATCAGTGGTGTGTTGTGGTATTATTATAATGTAGACTTTGGGGTTTTGTATTGTATGAGAAAGTACTAGAAGGTAAGTCATAGTTGCTTTTTTTTTTCTGTTAGTGAAAACTCATTTTCTCCATTTTCAGTTATTGATTGATAGAAAACGATGACTCTGTCCTTGTATGGATATGGTGCTAAAGTTTCAAGTGATTAGCAGCATAAGTGGGAAGAGAAAAAAAGAGATGGAGAGTGAAAAATAAACTGAAATATGACAGAAATTGAGTAGAAACAAGACAGGATGAAACTGATTATTTTAAAATCATGCAGTAAACTGAAGAAGGAATAAATGCGTTCCATTTGCATTATTTGCATCATATGCTTTTCTTAGAACAATTTTCAAGCTGAATACTGAGTATGGCAATATTAATTATGTGATGTTTCATTCTCTTCAGATGAACTGAGGTCTTACCTAGATGTTTCCTGAGAACCACTAAGTCCTTAAGTCATGGAATACCTTATGAACTTTCAAGTGTTACTTCAAACCAGGGCTTACTTTACAAAAAAAGTCAGCAAAATCAGACTAGAGGGCTCTTAACAAAATGTAAACAAAGTATATCTTTCTGGCCTCTTCTGTATTGTTGGAAAAGCCTTCAAAATAAATCCTGTGAAATGCAGAGGTTTTCTAAGGTCCTGGGCAAAGATTGAGCCCATGATTCATTAGGCATCGCTATAAAGTAAGAGATCAGGGTCTTCCCGTCTCAGAGGTGACTTGCACTTCTCCATGGACACTGGTCTCTGTCTTCATCCACTGCTGTCGTGGAACACCTGAAGCCACCATGTCCCTTCTGCCACATCCTGCCTTCTTTCATGCAACAGTGGAGAGTCTGGGACAGTCCTTGTAGTATATTTGTCCAAAACACTAAATTTGCCAACATCAGAAGGATTAGCAGCCAAGTTCCCTCTACTCTTGCCTCTTTCGGGAGGACATGAGGAACTATTGTCAGAGGAATTTCTACTCTTGGTAGCAGGGGAGCAAATCTCTTTCGGGAGGACATGAGGAAAGTTTCAGGACTATTGTCAGAGGAATTTCTACTCTTGGTAGCAGGGGAGCAAAAGCCGTGTGTCATATGGCAGCCAGAGAATTAATTATGAAAAAAGGTGTATATATTTTTTTCTGTTGAAGAGTGTCTACGATGCTTTAATACAGTCACAAATGATGAATTCTTTTCCCAGGCTGACACACACAGTTTATCATTTTATTTTTATGCTCCTGCCCAGCAGGTGTCCTTTCCTTTTTCAAAACAGACCATGAAAATATATTTTTCTGATGAGAGGCAGAAGGCACGGCCATATAACTGTATGTTTTTGTACATCTGCAGATGCAGCAGCTTGAGAAGCAAGTTATAGATGCTGATCGTCAAGCAGAGAGAGCATTTCAGCAGGTATAAATGGAATAAATATCTCCACTAGCTGTGTGCATGTGGTACTTCGATGAGGTGACATTCAAAAAATTGCTTGGTTTTTAAGTACTTCTAAAAATGGAGAAGAAGACAGTTTCTTTTAGAGTCTATTGATTTGTCTTAATAGAGAGTTCTAACACCTTTCTTTGCTCACTATTCAGTTCATTTCAATAAAGTCAAAGCTAACATCATAAATCAAAAGTAGATACGTGGAATGTGCTTCCTCATTGGTGCGTCATGAATCTTTGATATATGATGCATGTGGAACCAAAAGGGAGAGGAAACAATGATCTGTTTTAGAAGATCTGTAAGAAAATAAAATCAGGCTATGCAATACAACCTCTAAATAGAACTGTTCTGTGTTGTTTGTTCCTCTTGTAGAAGTTACATCATTTAAAGAATGAGATCGTGGCTAAATATTTAACTGAAGTTGCCTTTTGATTCCAAATGGCAGACTTAAGTTACTGTAGACATTTTATGAACATACCTCTGGTGTCCCTGAAACATTCCTCATATCTTACTGTGAGACAGATAGAAACTGAAAATTACAAGACTAAAATGTTCATGTACTAATTTGGAGTTAGAAAACATTCCTGACTGCAAGCCAAGTATTTTTAAGCAATTATTTAGAATGCTACCAATAATTTGCTGGGGTTTTTTACAGTGTGCAATTGTTTATTTATTAAAACATTGTTTACAGCTCCCTGTAGATAAATTGCATTCTTCCCACACTGGTGTTTCTAAAAGCTTGTGTGTTACAAAACTAGAAGCCTCTCACAGATAGTAACAAAACATGTGTAAGAACTTCCAGTGTTTTGCCAGTCCTGTTGGTATTAATTGAATAGGAAGATATAATGAACTGTGGGGTTTCTTCTCAAATAGGCTTCAAAACTTTGAAGGGTTGTCTTGAATCTTAAGCGTGGAGGCAATTTTAAGTTTATTTTGTGATTAAATTATTACCTTTGACTTGGAGTGTTATGTTCCTTAAAATTTTATATTTGACTTTCCAAATAGGTGCAGATCATGGAAGAGAAATTAAAAGCAGCAAACGTTCAAACAAGTGAATCAGAAACCAGGTTGTATAAGAGATGTCAAGATCTGGAGATCCTGATACAAGATAAAAATGATATAATACAAAAATTGGAACAACAACTTGAAGAACAGGTTAGGAATAATGGTGTTACAAAAGAGAAACATCAATTCTCTTTTTAATTATACAAAAGGAAAATAAAAATTTAGATCAATGGAGGACAGAAAAGTTTAGCATTATTTCTGTTGTTTGATTAAAGAGGTTCCCATTGGAAGTATATAATTTGAATAATGTTTATTCCTTTTCAAATTAAGCTCTCTCTTCCACTGAAAGAACATGAGACCTTTAAGAGGGGAAAGATGATATTCCTTTTCACTGTTCCCCCTGAAGAGCTTTCATTCTTACTAGAGGGAAGAGAAATAGCCACTGTGAACACCCTATTCCTAATTTTTTAAAAATTACCATGTATTACCCAGGAGCCTGAATTACTTCAAGCAATCTTAGGATTTGTGTCTGAAGATACTACTCAGGCAGATTATATTACTCAGTGAAAAATATGCTTATGTCAATTTTTTCCAGAAGCAAATAAGACTGCAAGAAGCAAAAATCATAGAAGAAAAAGCAGCTAAAATAAAAGAATGGGTGACAGTCAAGCTTCATGAGGTATAACTCTTGCTACAATACTTACACAGGAAATATAATGGTGTGACTGGATATCCCTTAGACCTTTTGGCTGTTAAAGGCCTGCGTGCCATAGTAAAAAGTGCTTCCCAGTTTCATTGATTTTATAGTTATTTGCTGGAAAGAGGAAAATTGAAAACAACGGCACAGAGAGCAGTGTGTCCATGTCACCTAAATTCTGATGTCTGACTTGGTCAGCCAGGATGATCTGGGTCCGCTTTCTGAAGAAAGGACCCAGCTCTGCTCTCTGAAAGGTCAACTTCTCCACTAGTTGAGAGAGTTTAGCTGGCAAACTGAGCTTATTCAAGCAGATGCCTAAAGTGTGAATAATCCTCAGAAAGCCGACCAAGCCTGCTGGGGCCTGGCAGAAAAAAGGCCTTGATCATTTTTTATTTCACAATGCCCACACTACTCTTAGTCACAAATAATTTCAGGGACACCAGCTCTAGTTTCAAGAGACCAGTTGTCTCCCTTTTTTCTCTGCTGTGGTAAGATAACCATGTCTCTGCCCTGCCTAAAGCTGCCAGCTTTGGGGTGCAGCTGTGCTTTCTCCTCCCTGGGTGTAGAATTTAAAGTTGCCTGTAAAAGTTAAAATCTTACTCTCTTGTAGTTAACTGGAAGTTATACTCGAGTTGAAAAACAATTAAGTTATTGTTTTTGAAGTAAGAAACTAGAAGGTTCTTACATAAAATATTTACTTTTCATCTGTGAGGGCTAAAGTAAATAATTTAGAAATAATTTAATAAAAATGCCATTAAATTTAGCTAAAATTACCATGAAAAAGTTTGGACAAAATCAAGTATGACTCAAAGTATTTACTTACTCTTTACGGAAAAATATCAAGCTAGTTTCACAGATGTGACTAAGTGTCACTCAGTGGGAAGTGGAACTGCTGGCTCCCTTCTGTGTGACAAGGGCCACTCAGATTCAAATCTGTTTGCCTGATCTGGAGCAGGAGTTTGAACCAGCATCTTTTACCTCCCTGTGGTAGGCTACAGCAATGGCTTCTTGTTTTTTTTATTTCCTGTACAAAGACTTTTGTTTGGTATAAAGTTTGTTGGCACATGTTTGGTTTTTTTATTATTTTTGCTGCGGGACAGTAAGGAGGCATTAGGACCAGCATTCCCTCTGTTTCCTCTGCTCATTCTTGGTTTTGCCAAGTGGCACAGGAGTTTGTAATTCTAGCCTTCTGCTTTTATTGAAAATGCCAATGCAGTTTTCTTTTTCTCTTATTTATTAAGGATTTTTAAAGCAGTCACGGGTTTGCTTGGTTGGGGGAATGATTTTGGCAGAATTTAGTAAATAGTCATTGCAGGGAATTTAGTTGTTCTGAGTAAAGAGATGCCTAGACTGGTATTTAGAGTAGCAGAGAGGAGATTATTATTTGAACTAGCTCTATCCTTAGATAAGCAGAAATTCAGAGAAAAGATGAAAGATGTAATGACTTTAAGATTTGTTTCACCAATGGATGAGATTACATTTATATGCTTTTAGTTAGAGGTGGAAAATCAGAACCTTCGCTTGATCAACCAAAAGCAAACCAAAGAGATGAAAACAGTACAATCTAAACTGCAAGGTAAATGTACAAATCTTCTGAAAACTTCTCTCTATATGGCATATTTCTTTCTATTCTCTATTAATGTGTTCATCTACATGATTGAAAATATTCTGTGAAATCACAAAGATTTCAGAGAATATGAACTTGACATCAGAGTGACTGTACATGAAGGTGTTAGGAAGGAATCATTTGGTTTTATGCTGAAAAGACACACAGACAAGGCACAACTGGTATTAGTGAGGTGAATGGATACTACTGTTACTTAGGTTCTGCAAGTAGCAAGATTTTACTGGATTTAGGACAGATCTTTGCTTTCACATCTTTACAGCACAGGTGGCCATAAAACTGTTAAAGAACACATGAATGTCAGTCTGGATTTGCTTTTTCTAGAAAATGGTCAGCTGGGAATCAGAACTCCAATCAGATATTTTTAGTTATTACCTTTGACTACAGTGATCCAAAATCCTAATTCAGACCGTGTATCACCAGGTTCCTCTCCAAATGGGTATAATAAATTTAAAGCTCATGAAGTGTAAATAGAAAAGAGAGGAATAACCCGTCTAAGAAGCATTACTTCACATTGATCAAAGTTGAATTTTATTCACCACCATGTTGCCTGTTCACCAACGTGTGTGTCTGAAGGTTCCCATCATCCTCTCCACACTTGGTTGATCTGACAATTTACTATCATATGAAAATTTTATTAATTTGCTACCTAGCTCTCATTTCTTTATAATGTATCTTACATATACATGTAAATACACAGATATTTAGAAATTGTGTGTAGAGGAGTGTGTGTGTGTACACACATAATACATGAAAATACAAAAAAATTACAAATTCATACACAATACAAAGTTTTTAAACTAAAATTCACTCTTCTGTTAATGAAGAAACTGGATAGTTTTGCTTCTTTGCTATCCTTTGATAAGTAGCAATTCCATGCACTTTTAGTCATTCTCTTCTGAGAGATCTATTTAAAGGCTTTTTGAGACCCTGTAGTTTCCAACACACAGTTACTGATATGCTCAAAAATACTAAGAACTTTATTACCATTTGCAGTGTCCATGCTGGTGACAGGCTATAAATTATGAGCACGTGGTACTGTTTTAAGCAGTTTTGCAGGTAGGGTAAGGGCCTTTTGCTCCTGGATCCACCACAGGGATTTTTATGAACAGAGATGAACAGATTTCATGTTCAAGGCAGTTCATCAATTTCTGCTTTCACTTTCTCTTAAGTCCTCCTCCATACCGACCTTCTAAATCTGGTAACCTTCTTACTCTTCTGTATTTCCTGTGAAATTGTTAAAAGATTTTTTCTTTCTATTGTTATATCAATTTTTAAGAATTAGAAACATTGCTCTGGGTTTCTCCTGATATGGAGAGATGTCAGGTAGCCCTTTTTTCCTATAATACATTTTTATTATCTTTTTTTTCCTGATTTTTAGTTACCTTAAAAAACCTCCAAACTTTGCACTATAGAGTAAAGAGTTGCATAGCTTGTTGTATCTCATTAACACAAGATTTCTGAATTACTATTCTTCAGAAGCTACTGGTAAGAAATCTGTTACTTCAACACAAAAACCTGGAGAATGTCAGCGACTAAGCAGTTTGACTTTTGGATGCTTTTCAAATAGAGCAAGAAGTCCTCAACCATCTCCTAAGCTTGAAGAAATAAGCAAGGCTTCATCTAAAGAGTCAGACTACCCTGAAGGCAAAAACATGCCAGGTACCTTGTCATCAACACTGCCATTTTTATTCTGACACAAGTGGGAAACTAAAATCAACAACTCTGTCATCCAAACCAGCTGTTTTCAAATTGCACATCAGTACTGTCTCCATCTTCATTGCTACTCTTCTATTACTAGGAAGAAATCATCCTGTTGAGCACTAGAGTCTCTGTAATATCACTAATACATTATCTGGCAGCATGCAGAGGCTCCTGGGTGCTTTGGCTGTGAAGTAAAGACATGGTTGTGACCTTTGTTATTGCTCTGGTCCTTCGCTCAAATCCCTTGTACTGTTTATGATTTCAGTATTTTTCCACAGTTAATCATGCTATCCAAAATGGCAAGCTGAGGTCTTTTGAAAATCAGAAACTGAAAGAGATCCTATGAATATTTTGTGCATTTATAGTACAGCAAGTTCACTATGAAGGTGGCTATGTATTATTACTTCTATTTTTACAGAGGAGGGAATTGAAGTAAGAGTGATCTTTTCAAGAGAAAGGGTAAGACATAGAACTTTAGGCTTGCCTAGATGGAAACAGATAATTTTGGGGACTCCATTACTTTAATGTGGGTGAAATTAAAATATTTTGTGTTATTCAGGCCACTTTAACTTCACACAGGTATTTAACACAGACTTTTTCAAGTGTCTGTGTAGAAAACCCTAGTTCTTGCATCTAATTTAATCTGGGAACATGCAGGCCTCACTAACATGTTGCAAGCTATAGGTCTTTCTTGTAAAACCAGGTAAAAGCGAAGAGCAGGAACAAAGCTATTTTTAACACAGCGTCTTTCCTGAAGTACTTTCCATGAGACACTCTTGTGTATTTTAAGCATTCACCATTGGGAATACAATAATAGCTTCCAGAATAAATTTCTGTGTATAAACACTGTAGAAATGCTCAGAATACTTGATTTGTTAATGAAAATCCTTTCTGACAAGCTTTATTAAACTTTAACTTTCCTTAGATTTAATAAAGGAGCTAAATTTGTATGCCCTCTTAAGTAGTTGGCTTTTTGTTAGTTTTGTTTGTTTGTTTGTTTTTACACATACATGGCTTTAAAATATGGCTCCAGTCTGCTTATCTTTATGTTTATTGACATTTTTAGTTCAACTTTGAGTAACATCTGTTACAGTTTTTTTGCAAACTTAATTTGCATTCAGTCACATTAAAAAATTTATGATCTTTTTCTTAATGTTTATTATTTACAATATTAAAAAACATAAATGTTCTCATGCATTTGAAATTATTACCTACTTACTATTTGCAGACATGATGACAAAACCATTTATCAGTCAGGTTTGCTAAAGTAATTTTCTCATGTTCATTATATTTCTCCTCCAGAGAAGGATATCCTGGAAACTACCTTTGCTGGTCCTGTACACGAGACAAATAAAGGTCAGAAGTCATTGCAACAAAGTTCCTCTGGTTCAGAGCAGAACAAAAATGTGAGAACAAGCTGCTCATCCAAAGACATAGACAGTGACATGTCAAAGAACTCATGTACTACTGGGAGTGACTGGAGCTCAGATGAGGATGGAGGAGACAATAAAGGACTGAAATCCAGGTGTGCATCAACTCTTTCAAGCCACACATCTGAAGAGAACGCAAGGTACAGTAGAGTGGGAAGCGAAATGTATTTGACAGCATCTGATGACAGTAGTTCTCTCTTTGAAGAAGAGAGTTTTGATGTTAAGAGGACTCAGCAAAAGAAGCTATACTCATGGCAGCAAGGGTCCCTAAGAAAAGGCCTGAGCAATCCAGGTGGAAAGTGCAACTCTGACTTCACAAGGAAAAAGAAAGACCAAGATAGTTCTTCAGATGAACTGAATAAGAAATTTCAATCACAGAGGCTTGATTATTCATCCTCATCCAGTGAGGCAAATACCCCAAGTCCAATTTTAACTCCTTCTCTGACACCCAAACACCCAATTCTAGCAACTTCTGCAGGTTCTCCATGCACAACTCCATCAAATTTTCCCTCAAATTTGCCACATCCAAAGTTACGGACTCCTAATGTCTTCAGTCTAAATTCAGTGTTAGCAAAGAAACACCTAAGCCAGCCCCAGCTGAGTTCTGACAGAATGTTTGGTAGAAATAGAAATGCCATAAGCATGATCCGCCCGTGGAGACCTCAGGAAACAGACATAGATCTGGTGGATGGAGAAGATACTGATATTTTAGAGAAAATGGAGATTAGCTGTGATGAAGGAGTGTTTACCTATGACACCACGGAAGCACAAAATGCTGAAGCCCAGGAACTTTGTGATACGACAAAAAAGGGTGCTAGCAACAAACCTCCAACGCCTCCATTACATCGATTTCCTTCCTGGGTAAGTGTGCTTATAGGTATTTTTCCTGCTGGCAAAACTAACTTGTTTTCATGACTCTCTTCTTTGATTTTTGTTGCCTCTATTTTAATTACTTTCTGTTTATTGAAAAGACAGGGCATTACCTTAATCATAACTGCAAACTCAGAACCTAGTTTTAATTTCAGCACAGTATTCCTGCCACTGAAAAAAAATGGTATTTTATAGACAAACCCAGGTTTTTTTCATGTGACATGTAAGTTATGTATGTCTACCTGAATGTATCCAAGGATGCAGTCATAATGCTTATGACTGCACTTATTTATTTATTTATCTGAACACTACCACAGCCCAAGAATGGTGGCGTCAATGCCCTTTCTGTAACCACTGTACCACTCACAAGCTAGACAATTAAGTTGACAGCAGAGAACTACAAATTACAGAAGTAATTGATATTTCCAAGTAAAACTTTAAAGCCATCAGTCAGGATATTAAAATAAATATTATTATCTCTTACACAAAATCCAAAATTAATTGTGTCAAGGCTCACTAATTCTGTGGTTTCAGTGTCAGAGATTTATTAATTAATAATTTATTAAATATATTAAGTATTATTCAGGAATAATACATTATGTAACAACTTCTCTATATTTATTGAACTTTTTGCATTATACATTTTGTTATTGTAGTCTTTTAACACAAAATGGTCAAAAAGTTGTCTTCTAATGGCATTTCTCTTCTCCTAACACACAATCTTCCATTAAAAAACATTCTTACTATAGCTTCTTTGGCACCTGGTAATAGTATTTTTAAGAATAAGTTACTTACCTTGTATAAAAAATGTCAAAAAAGGCTACAGCTATCGGTGTACAGCACAGAAAAGAAGGATGCATTTTTCAGCTGCTATTGACAATGTCATTTTATGAACCATTTTATCACATAGTTGCACTAACACAAAGACTAGAAGGCTAAACAGAACAAAAGCAATTGTTGTGTTTTAATTATCTACTATCAAATCCATTCTGCTTGTATAGGAAAGTAGAATTTATGCTGTAGCCAAATCTGGTTTAAGGATGTCTGAAGCTTTCACCATGGAATCTCTTAATAAAAGTAAGTGGTTTGGCTGTTCATTGTCCCATCGACAAAAGTTCTCTTCTTATGGCGATTTGTGAGCAAGGACCTTTAAAATATTTTTAGAAAGGTTTCATTAACAGCTGTTTAAAGCCTAGAAGATCATTGATTATCTTTCTATTGTCTGTGGTACCTTACATCTTGACTTTGTGCTGAATTTGTATTTTGTTAACTCCAGTTTACTTTGCATTTCACTACTTTGAAGAATCTATACCAGGTACCAATTTTAAAAGGGCTAGTGTTTGTGACTGCAATTTTATTTATGTCTTTAAAAGCACTGCAAATTTCAAAAAGCTATAAATCTCACATCCAAAACAGTTCAGGAGTTAGTTTGCTTTTTATAGTAGTTATACAATACAAAAAGTTAAATTTTAATTTTGTTAATTGGGGGGGGTGAATTAGGTGGGCAATTTATAAAATATGTTGCTTTTTTAGATGCTGTTTCACTGACTTCATGCTCCATATCTGGATTATATACTTCTCTGATATATAAGAACATGACGACTCCTGTCTACACCACTTTGAAAGGGGTAACTGTATTACTGTTTAAAGAAAATTTTTAAATACCATTAGGTTTCACATCCAGGAACTTGCTATTTCACATTTGATACTACCATGCCAAATATGTTGCAAGTTGATGTATAGAGATCAAAGACCCCCAGAAGTAATAGAAATGTCAAATAGCTGGGTAAAAAAAAAAATACTGCCTATAAAATGTTACTGGCCTAGGTCAATTCTTCTTAGGTTCCTTGCTGATTTTTTCCAAAGGCTTGTTAATTATTAAGCAGAACCACATGGTGTTCAATGTCATAAATAAAAGTATGTGTATGTAGAAATGTCTTTGTGTCAGTGCCAAAGCTGTTTCTAGTCACACAGCCAGCAGTCAGTAATCACAGCATTGTTTGTCTTCTGGCAGCCTTTTGTGATTTGGAAAGACCCATGCCTTGAGCTACCTCAGGTTTCTGTTTTAAAGTATGGGTGTGGTTGAGTATACAGAGGGCAGAGGGAATTCAGTTTCATGTTAATATTTTTGTGCCAAAACTCACAACCCAGGCAAGAACAGCTTTGAGTATTACGAAGCCAGCAGAACCCTGCCACAGTATGAAGGAAATGACTGATACCCTTTATGCAAGGTATCAAAGGATGTTGTGTTCCCTTCTGCAGAAAGCAACTCAAATAAGCAACAGCCCATTTCTAGATGAGTCATCAGGATCTGAGGAAGAAGACAGCTCTCGGTCCAGCTCAAGGACTTCTGAGTCTGATTCTCGAAGCAGAAGTGGTCCAGGGAGTCCTCGGGCTATGAAACGAGGTAGGCGAAACCATAAGAACAAGTAACTCCTGAGAACTCTGGAAAACCAGGCAGTTTACATGATTTTCTTAGGAACTGATATCTTCACTAAATAGTATGGACATCTAAAATCTAGGCTGTCAAAGCCCAGATCTATTACTCAGTCAGGAGAAAGGAATGTTATAGATGGCTTTATTGCTGTTATTATAAATACCTTTTAAAGGCATTAATCTTTTAGCTGGCTGTTGTTATGAGGGAAAAGTCTTTGTACATTTAAAGCAAGAAGCACCATTCTATCTATACTCTGTCATGCCACGGACTTCCTGTGACTTTTAACTGTAGAAAAATAAAAATTACATAGAAAAAAAATCACCACCAGAAACAAAACACAAATATATTCAAGTTTATAAAAGAATTTCATGTGATGAGAAATCAGGTGGAAAAGTTCCCTCAATAAATTATTTGGTTCTGTCACCTCATGCAAGAAAAGACTTCTTTCATTTTTACAGTGATTGTCTTAAGGTCTTGTGCAAAGATTTAGTTAGAACACTTGAATCTGGTAATGTCCTGTGTTTTGTGGAAGACAAATCTCACAGTTCTAGGTGATTGTGTTTTCCATCTCCAAAATGGAAATAATATGCTTCATAATATTGAAAGATACAATCCTTCCTCATTAGGTGACATTATCAGTGTTACTGCTCTGTGAGTATTTCTTCACTGTGTAAACTGAAGGAGTCCAAGATCCCAGTGAGGCCAAGTGCTAAGATTTCTCATTATATATTGCTTTATTTTTTTAAATAACATTATTTGGTAGTCTCAATTATACATATAAAAATTCCAGTTACCAGGAGCTCCGTTTAGTGACCCCGGAGCAGAGTGACGGTCCCTCTCGGCGCTTTCCAGTGGCAGCCACAGGTGGAGTACAGTCCTGTTTCCAATGATGTAGTTTTGCCACATTAGTGTGAAAAGGACCTACAGATCCTGCTTCCCATCAGCTTCATCCTGCAGAGCAGAAACTAGTGCCATGGCTGCAGACATACCTCATGTTACGTGCTTACACAACAGCAACACTAAATTGGGTTATTTAAAAGCTGGCTTCACCTGCACTTTATATCTGTGTCTGTAAAATGGAACCATTCCTTTTGTTTGTACTTTCTTCCCATAAAATAGTCCTTGCATTGTTTCATGTGTCACCTTTCTTCATCACAAAACACATATGTACATGTCTTTGTTGAGATCCCATTCTTCAAAAATCCAGGCAGTCACACATTTCACCAAAAGCATGCTGCAATTTGTTATGAAAGATCCATGATGAGAAGAGAAGAACCCACTCTGAAAGTCTTGGTGGCTTACCAAAGCCTTTTTTAAGAATAAAATTGGCAAATGAGTTGGGAAATTAGTGAAACATAGGGAAAAAACTAACCTTGCAGAGTGCAACACTAGTCCTTACAAAAGAAGACGTTTACATGCATGAAAATATTTTTGTAATGAATGAGGGAGGAGTTTGAATTTTTATTACTGATCCACTAGAATTGAAAGCAGGGTGCATTTTTTTCAGGATTAAAGCTAATAAACTCTAAAATCCCCCTGAAATATGAAAATCAAGCTTTTAGAAAACCTTGGTATACAAATCCATATTGATTGCAAAACACAGTCACCTACAGCTTCAACACAAAGCAGATGTTGAGTATGACTTCTTAGTACGCAAGCAGTTGCCTGAGAAATCCGGATGCTAGAGTGAGTGAGAGAAGGGAAGGTTGCTTAGTTTAATTAAAGATCCTGGTTTTTTTTCCTAGACAATGAGTATGATTCATGGCACTAACTCCCTCCTTAAAGAAGCTGTGGTAATGTAACAGAAGGTGATAATATACAGAAGACATTTTTTTGTTGTTCCATTTGCAAGGGACTTCAGTTATGAATAAAATGAGAATTAGCACCGTGCTAATATTTCAGTGTGCTGATACTCTAAAAAATCCTTGGTTCCTGATGGATCTATGTTGATACTTATGTTTGCCTGCAGATTCTATTCAGATGTTTTTTCTGCTATTCTGATCTCAGTTGTTTCTAATGTAATAAAAAAAATATATATAAAGAACTCTCTTTCTTCTTTTACCACAGGTGCATCTCTGTCTTCTGTGACCTCAGAAAGTGATTATGCTATTCCTCCAGATGCATATTCAGTAGATACAGACTATTCAGAGCCAGAGCAGAAACTTCCTAAGACCTCATCCTCATCTAGTGATAATGGAAAAAATGTGAGTACTGAAGTTCTGTGAAGAAGTGCACCTGAGGTACTGTGTGTATATTTATGTTCAAATACAGATACCAAACCTTTTCATTCAGTCTTGCTGACTCACAGACTGCCTTATGAATACAAACAGCAAAATATACCAACAATATTAGCCAAGTAAGACTGTAATTAGTAAAGAAAGTGGAAGATAATTCTAAGCTTTCCTATATAATGAAGGAAAAATAGCTCGACAACTCCAGAATACAATTCAAATTACTTAAAATTTCCTTTCTTGGAACCAGGTCTGCTATCAGATGCATATGAAATACTCAAAACAGTTTAAAATTATTATTTGAATAGCTAGGTAAATAGAAGGGCATTCCAAGAAGGAGCTGAAGTCATCAGTGGAAATCTATGTGCAGTAATAAGCTTCTATCCTTTCCTCATACAGGGAAAACATTAGAGAAATCCTAGGGAGAGTAACATGTGAAGACAGGCCAAAGAAACCAAACCATTATGAGGTATTGGTCAGCCTCCAGGAGCTTTTAATCGTTTGTGTTAGTAGTTAGTGTCTTAACATACAAGTGGATTTACTACCTGGTGATGAAGATTATTTTAGGCTTTCTTCACAGAGCAAAACTGTGAACTCTATTCTACAGATGTAGACACTAGAGGTTTGTCTGTGAGGAGCTCAGAATTACAGTGCTTTATATCTGGTTTTCAGGATAGGACCTGGAGTTGGGAAAAAAGAATACATTTATCTTTTATTCATCTTGCTCCTTCTTTAATATAAACAACTAGAAAGTAAAATCAGAAAACATCATATTCTTCATTCTTTTCTGTAGTTTGGGGCACTTCTCTCCTTCATGTACTATAACAGTAAGTAGGGCTATTTATTAGTTATCCCATGTGCATGACATTTTTCTTAATTGATGCTTGTAAAAACATTGTCCTTGGATTAAAAGTTTCATCAAATACTATAATTATTATTTAGCATGCTTTTAAGTCATTAATATATCTCTATGTGTGTATTTATACCTATTTCTGAGGGACAGAAGTATGTATGTGTACCTAACCACTTTTTATCTAATTTCTAAACAACCAGGAACCTTTGGAAAAATCTGGATATCTGTTAAAAATGGGTGGTAAAGTAAAGACCTGGAAACGACGGTGGTTTGTGCTTAAAGGAGGTGAATTGCTATATTACAAATCTCCAGTAAGTACATGTAACTTACCTGTTGTTTTGTATTAGATTGGTTACTGATAATCTAAGGCTGCTAGAAAGGGAAAAAAAAAATGCACTTCTGGTTTCTGAGCTGTTAGAGAGTGATTCAGTACTCACTTCCTCAAGAGGTGTACAAGGTACACAACGTCTAACCAGAGAGTATTTATCAAGATTAATGTTTAAATTAGTCCTATATTAATTTATTGCTGTTTGTTGGTAGATTTAAAATATTCTTTGTTCCATTCTTTCCATACCAGAGTGATGTTATTCGAAAGCCTCAAGGTCAAATTGAGCTTAATGCATCCAGCCACATTGAAAGGGGTGATGGAAAACAAACAATTCAGGTGCCTGCTTTTCTCCTCTGTTGGTGTTTCAGCATTCCCTCCATCCCCAAAGCCAACCCCTCGTTCCAATCCCTGTTGCACTGGAAGTCCAAGTGTGGACTTGTAATTAAATAATCAGTGCCTTTCATTTGAAACCAAAGAATTGTTTCAGTGACATAAAATATAAAAAGGCCTACCTGGAGTCTTGTTTGTATTGCCACAAAGGTTAGATCATCACATATGGGATAGAAATAAAGAGAGCAGTCATGGGGTCAACCATTGGGGTAGAAAGAATTCATTTGTCTGAAAAGAGAAGTGAGTTTTCTCAACTTGCCATCCTGGAACTTTCCAGATGAAGATTTAGAAAGAGTGTCTCTGCTCTGTCTGGTCATGGAATGTTTCATTACTAAAATGTACTTCAGGGAAGATAAACTCCCCGAAGTTGTAAAGCTACATTGGGTGGTGTATGTTACAAATCCCACACTGTGAGGTCAAATACGTCAATTCCTGAAGCTCAACACATCTTTGTTACTTCACAGCTGACCACAGAGAAACGAACATACTACCTGACTGCAGATTCCCCCAATATCTTGGAGGAATGGATCAAAGTACTGCAGAATGTTCTTAAAATACAGGCTGCCAGCCCACTCTTTGTACAGTCTGAAATCAAGCCAACCATGAAAGGATTACTTACGAAGGTAGGAAAACACTTCTTCCCCCAGTCTGCTTTGTTGTTTAGGCCAACACTGTTTAGGTCAACACTGACCTTACTGTGCTTTAGATGAGCATCTCATCTAATGCTCGGATTCTTATGCCCTTAATAGAGTTACACAGTTTAAATCTTATGTCCAGTAATGTGGATAGGAATTTGAACCAAGACATGCATTCCCAGTATCATCAAAGTTCAGAGATGGTGAAAATAGTCGGTATTTTCTCTGTCTGTGATTATTACAGATGTTCTGTAATTACAGGTGAAACATGGATATTCCAAAAGGGTTTGGTGTACCCTAGTTGGAAAAATTTTGTATTATTTCCGTAATCAAGAAGACAAGGTAGGTTCCTTTCTTGCTTCTTCAGAGAATGTAGACTTTAAACAGAAACCTATAGCTTTATTAAGGTACAGTTGGCCTTGGTATTATACAGAAATTGTCAGCTTGGAAGATTCTGTCTAATAGCCAGCAATGCAGACCACATCCATTGGTCTCTTTCTACAGGATGTGATACGTATTATGCATGTTATCCCTAGCTGAAGGGGGACACTGGTTTGCCTGGAGTTCAGGTGTCCCTTTCTGACAGGCATCAGAAAAGACCCAGCTGTCATGTAGTTCTGGAAGCAGACCTTTTCTTATGTCTCTTGCAGTGGGCAGTGACTGCAAGTTTCAAGAATTTAAATGTTCTTTCTGTCCCTCAGTTGACTTCCAAATCCTGTTCTTTGGTATGTCACTGTACATCCACAGTGCTACAAGACCCAGGACACTTCCTAGACATGACTTTCACCTGTCTGTTTGCTCCCAAGGCATTGTATTTTCTCACCAAGAAACATCTTTTTAATGGAGGCAGGTCAGAAACAGGATTTTGAACTGTCCACTGAGCCATCATAAAAAAATCAGTAGAAATTCTCATATTTGTGTACTTCTGTTTTAAGAAGATAATCACACTGGAGTCAGTAATTCATATCTTTTGTGTAGAGCCAGTTATTCCCTTTGTCATCCTTTCCTTTTATACCCATTTTAAACCTCAACGAAACCCCATTTCTAGAACTGTATGAATAAGATAGCAGTAACCATCCATCAAAACATATTAATTGCTCTTTAAAACAATGTAAAACAGGGTTTGGGCATCAACTGGCTTAAGTGTAATCTCAAGCTCTCACTACAGAGACATTAAAATTAACATAAAATTTCTCCTAGGGAAAAATCTCTATGTTTAACATATCTGACATACAAATTTATGTATTTTTACCACTGAGTATTTTGGCATTTTAGCATGCTCTTTAGTTAAGAATTTGAGTTCTTGGATTTTGAATTCTGAGTATTTCCCTCACATCTGGAAGAAGTTTAGCTGCCCTTTTAAAGTAAAATTGAAACGAGTTTGCTAACTTGGAACAGAATGAGAATTCAGCTTTTGTAAGCAGAATATGTATGAAAAGTTTTCCAAAACTACTTTATTTCTAATGTTCAACAATATGCTAATTAAAATCATGTTTTCTGTAGCTGACTGTGTCTGTGCAGAAATAAATTACACAATCTGCAGTGGTTAATGCAATAATGGAGTCCATTTAATTGACCTCCTTTCAAAATGGAATTCAAACTAAAAAGCCAGCCAATTGTGTTTTAGTTAAACTTGGTGAATAAATCAATCTTGACTACTTACATGTGAAACGACATCTTTTGATTCTCAGAATCTTATCTTACTCAAAAAGTTGAATGCTTCAGAAGCACTACAGAAAATACAAATCACCACATCATTATTTAATCCTTACCAGTGGTGCTGTGGGAAGGGAGGGAGTTTTGTGCAGAGCAGCCAGTCAGCTCTCTCAGTCCTGTCACCCAGTTGTGAAGAGATTTCATGCTGTATTTATGTTTGTTGAGGCTTCCTATTGATAAGGGCTATGAAATAATTACTTCTGTGAACATTTCCTCTTGAATGGCTTTTTTAGATAAAATATTTTCTGCTAAATGATGCTAACTACATAACCACCTCAACACTGAAGCTCTGTGATCTCTCACACTGGAGAAAGAAACCAACTAGAAGGTCTATCACACAAAAAAATTACCTTTTGAATTTAGAGTATGAACAAACCAATACATCAACAATACATTCCTCTCCTCTAAAATAACGAGATCATAATTAAAGTTCTAGGCTTGACACAGGAAATTTTTGCTTGGAACCAGGTTTGGGAACTCTGGAGAATGCCTTCTTTCACCCTAACATACATTTATTGCATTAGCTATATATAGAGGCAGATCTGGAAAAGAATTTTTGAAAACCTCATTTTTAGACTTTGGCACATATCAGTCTCATTTTGCTCTCTGCAACATCTGGCTTATCTGACATTCCTTGGCAGGACTGAAAATGAGTAAATACCAATGGGTATGGATGGTAGTTCACGTTTTAATTTCTATTATTTGCAGAATAAGAAAAAATTGTGTATAATAATAAATATAGTAATATATAATTCAAAATCAGTATGCACTGAAACAAACATTACCCCTCTCACCATTTCTCATATTTACTTTTAGTTTCCTCTTGGTCAAATCAAGCTTTTTGAGGCAAAGGTTGAAGAAGTTGACAGGTCCTGTGATTCTGATGAAGATTATGAAGCCAGTGGTCGCAGTTTATTATCAACCCATTACACTGTTGTTATCCACCCCAAAGACCAAGGACCCACTTATCTTCTTATAGGATCCAAACACGAGAAGGTAATAAATGGATATTTTTATTGAGCTTCAGTAGCACATCTGTGAGTATGATGCTGTGATATGAATATTTCTTGAGAAGGAGAAGGACTACAAGTCACCTGGCTTGTATTTTGATATCATAAGGTTCTGCTTTATTAACATCAATTAGAACTTGTCTGCAAATCAATGCTAGTGTAGGTAATCCTTGTTAAAATAGACAAAAATATGCAGGCTTGCCTACATAAGTAGATGGTGCAGAATATCTGATATGCTGTAATGAGAATTTTGCTCACATACAGTAACCTGTAGACAGAACTGTAGCTGAGGTTACAGGGTACTTACTAATATCCATTTTCACTGACAAGACTAACATAGCACAGACTTGCCCTACTGTAGTAAAGCAGCAACGAGAGGCAGGGTTAAAACCATTTTTATTATTGTTGCTTCATTGTAACCAAGAAATCTTGTAGACCTCATTTTGCTTTCTGGACTTATCCCCAGGTTAGCAGGATCTGGCAGTGATAAAAAATGATTTATGTAAGCTTCTGGAAGAGGAAAGGAAGAAAGCCCTGACAATTAGACATGGTTTCTGAGGATAAAAACTTTTGGAGAGCCCTGTCCAATCTTCTTTACTTAATATTTGTAACATAGAGACCATGAACGTGTGTTTATTCAACCAAAGGCAAACTTCTTTGGGCTTCAAAAGGAGTGCATGATAGGGTTTCAAGTTGAGAGCAGAAACCTGATGTAGCAGCTCCTTCCAGCACAGAATGAGTGAGCTGCTATGTTTTTCTCCTTTAGGACACGTGGCTTTATCATCTGACAGTTGCAGCTGGAAGTACCAGTGTAAATGTTGGATCTGAGTTTGAACAACTTCTTTGCAAATTATTAAATGTGGAAGGTGATGCCAGTAAGTTTATTTTCATTTCAACATACTGATCTTCCAATGCTTATTTAGTAAATGTACTTATGAACTGAATTAATTGCAAAATGTATATATTTTATCCATTTAGCTTCTCAAATTTGGAGACATCCTACCCTTTGCCATAGCAAAGAAGGAATTACTTCCCCTCTTACAACACTGCCATCAGAAGCCTTGCAAACTGAAGCAATTAAATTATTTAAGGTAAAACCATAGCAGATGCCTTTTTTAATAACTGACTATTTTAACTCTTTGCTACAGAATGGCTGTTAGTTGGCTTACTAGAGAGATTCAACAGCTAAGAAAAAAAGAGATGTTTATTTTTATCTTTAGTGGAGGTAACTAATGGACAGCAGCAAAATTATTACCACACCAAAGACCATCACGTCCAATGTAAAGATGACCTTTAGTTGTGAAGGAGCAGTTTAGGCTTCAGCTTTTGGTGTTCCTACTTATTTGATAAGTTATTGATAAAGTGCAAGTTAGTAGAGAAATCCATGACCACCATGAGTGATAATAATTTTACCTTGAAGTTCACAGCTCCAAAGAATCTAACAGCATGGACAGATCTCTGGATTCAGAAAACTGTATCTGAAAAACTATTTTTTCAGTTAGATTCAGGGAAAAAATCATAGGCAAAAGTTTTGTTGGAGACACATTTAAATAATCTGGGAGATCTTTTAAAAATCAGAAGAAAAAGAAAGTAAATTTTAAGTTTAGGCAAGTCATGGATTATTTAAAACTGAGATAGAAAGCAGGGGTTGTATTGCTCTTTTTAATAAAAAGGAAATATTTTCATATGAAGTAGCTATTCTTTAAAGAGCAATTATTCATTAATATAAATAGAGAAAATATTCCATAGAAAATAAATTACAAGTGAAATAAATTACAAGTTGGAAGGCATGGAGGTTGGATAAATGAACTTTCTCCACAAAACTTAGATGAGTCTAAAGAACAAATTCCCTGAAGCATGCACTATCTGGAGAATTGTGATGTTATGGTTCAGATCTAGAGAGGAATTCAAGACAAGCACTGTATGCTTCGTCATGGACACTTTTAGGCAAACTTTCCAGCTTATTTCTCTGGGATGTTTGAAGCACTTCAAAGAAGTACATCCATCTTATTTTCTGCAATCCTGCAGCACGAAAATTTACAAGGAAATGTACTTCTTTGATAAAAACAAATTTACATCTACTTGAAAATCACTTTTCAGACCAAATTCAAATCACAGACACTTGCCTAAAGTAAATAATTAAAGATTACTTATAGGACCTTTATTGAAACCTTGTAGAAATCAGCTTAGAAGTCAGGTAGGGAATTTAGAAACAGATCATGTCATGTTTCAGTTATCCCATTTATGATAAAAATAGACTAGAAATAGACTGGGCTTCAATCAACTTCTTGTATTTTTGCTTATATCCCTTAAAATTCAACTATTGTATACAGTACATGCAACAGGTAATATATATACTTTCTTCTAACACAGCACAACAAAAGCTTAACATCTGGCTTTCTTGAGACAGTACTGGGTATAGGCAAGGTCATATACCCATATACTTAACCTACGGTAAAAATACCATGGAAAGCCAAGATGTAAATCAATGGCTCTGAGTTATGGATTTTTTATGTGTATATGCTGCTGTGTTGTGCTATTTACAGAAGCATTTTACATTGTCTGGCACTGAGAGCTGTAGACATTGAATTTCCACGTAGAGCGGTGAGCTGTGTTCAGCATGTCCTTAAACTTGCCTGCCACCACAATTGTTCCAACTCCTGTTACAGTTCACTCCATTAGATACAGAGTGAAAAGCATGGGTTGTAGGAGGTGTTTCATCTCAAGTCTCCCTGTATTTCATCCATTCTGGCCCCTTTTCACCCCATTTTGCAGAACCAGCAGAGTTTTCCAAGTCTACTGGTAAACTTACAAATTGCAATTTCAATTAAAGTACACTTTTGATATACAGACATCTTAAAGATTTGGCAAATCTCCCTTGTATGTAAACTCACTTGCTTATTATTTTACATCTAGACCTGCCAGTTGTTTATAAATGCTGCAGTTGACTCTCCTGCCATTGATTACCATGTATCTTTGGCCCAAAGTGCTTTGCAGATCTGCCTCACACATCCTGAACTTCAAAATGAGATCTGCTGCCAGCTTATTAAACAGACCAGGCGTCGACATCCACAAAACCAGGCAGGACCAATACAGGTAACCCAGTATTTATTTTAATGGTAGTGATTTCAGCAGCAATGAAGGAACTACACAGAGTGTTTATGATGGTAAAGACGCTCTGTTCTTCTGCAGCATCTGCTGAGTTAAGATCCAATTCACTGCTGCTGTGTTTTCCTGAACAAAGCTGATGCTATCTTCCACAAAGTATGTGTATCTGGTGGTAGATTATATCTCTGCCCATGCTGTTTGTAAAGGGTGGACATAAAATGGGCTGTCTTCAAGTCAAGTGTTAAGAAAGAATGTAAGAAACCTAATTCTTTTTTACTGCTCTTTCCTAAGAGAAGTGCTGCCTCAGGAAGCTTGGTGTGTTAAACCACATAGCAAATGACTCAATAGCATGAGTGTGAAGTAAAGATGTGGTGCCATGTAGTGGAATATCACATAAGGCTCAGGTTTCTGATGGATGTCCCCTCTTGTGTGCCATGCTGTTCTGCATTCACCCTGCATGCTGCATTATTAATACATACTTGAAATTCCTCCCTTTGTCCACTGCCAGCTATTCACTGCTATCCAGATACAAAATGAATTGAAAGGAAAGCCAATACTTGGAGCTTGCATAGAATTAACAGAACTGGAACATTACACTTACAATGGAGTAATACCTGCAGAAGTAGGAGACTGATCAGAAAATGTGAAAGGAAGTTACCATATCAAGGCTTCTGTAATAGACATGTTTTTCTTTTACCATAGAAAGTAGCACATGACCAGCAGCCATACCTATTAGCTAGAAACAGCCTGTACCTGGGAGATGGCTGCTGTGTGGAGAGGCACTGGCACAGGATGCCCAGAGAAGCCATGGGTGCCCCATCCCTGGAAGTGTTCATGGCCAGGTTGAATTGAGCTTGGAGCAACCTGGTCTAGTGGAAGGTGTCCCTGCCCAATGCAGGGGGTTGGAACTAGATGACCTTTAAGGTTCCTTCCATTTTATGATTCAATGTGTGCATTGCTAAAACATTCACAAAGCTTTTATAACAGACATGGTATATTCATGTCAGTTAGCACACACTGAAGCTACATATGGCTGATGGCATTTAAACTTACTGTAATTTTCTTTGATACTCTTCTTACCATTAGCAAGGCCTTCCCTCTGATGAAGATAAATAAGTTGTTGTTATCCTAATCCCCTGGAATGATTTTTAAGAGCTATTACATGCAGTAAAATGTTTTCAGCCTAACACTAAGTTTTTTGAGTCCTAAATTCCTGCTGTAGTCTCCTACCCTTGATTCTGCTGCAGTGTATACCTTCAACAGAGCCAATGCTATCTCCATCAAAGTACAGATATTTGATGAAAGGCAGTATCTGTGCCAGTGCTGTCAAATTTCTTTTTAATACCAAGCAAGCCAGATAAATCAAGATAGAGAAACATTGTTTTTTAAATCTTAGTGTGAAGCATTGATGTACTGATTGTGAGAAAAATAGTTGCAACATTAGTAAGTGTGTATCAGGGTACATGAGAGCACTCTGTATTAAGTGAAACCAATGAATACATACTGAGCAACAACAATATACCAAAATATTGAATTACTGTTTTTTTAAAAGTTACTGCAAATTTGGTAGAAGAAAAAATGTCTTATGTGTTGCTTCATAACGTGTAACAGGAGAGCTGAATTAAAATTGCACAGGCTTCTCCTCATATCATAATGCTTGGCCGTGCAGCCTAAGTATTTCTTTTCCTTTGTATTAACTGCTTTTTATACAAACTCAGCTGCTTTCCCATTTCCAGACCCAAAAGAAACTTGGTGTACACATGTAAACAGACAGAGAGTATTGGGCTTTTCAATGAGGTTATATGCTTATTTACTCAGCTTTTTCTCTGTTTTTTTCATTCCTATTTCAGCAGTCTCAACTTGGCACAGTAAGCTGCACTGCTGGCCAGCAGCCACAGCAGGAAGTTTTATGCTGTAGGATGTTTAAAACAGTGAATGTATTCCTTTTGTTCAGGGCTTGCAGCTCTTGGCCCTCTGTGTTGGACTCTTCCTGCCCCAGCATCCATTCCTTTGGCTTCTTAAACTTCACTTAAAGAAGAATGCAGATTCCAGGTGTGCCTGAATATTATTACCCAGCTAGTCAACTGGTCTTTCTGAAGTACCTTGTTTTCAATCTTTCCTGTCATGTATCAGATCTTTTGATGTATATTTTTAAATTAATTTGAGTAGAATTGCTACTAAAATATAGCACATGTTACTTCTGTGCATCACCTGGGAAAGTTATAAGTTTAAAAAAAAAATATTTTTTAGTGTATACTCTGACTGTATGTTGCAAAACTGTGAAAGCCAAAATATGGCAGTTACACAACACACCCTGAGCCATGTTCATCTTTGGCACAATTCTGCTGGTCTCAGTAGACTAATTCTAATTCCACGTGCAAAAAAATGTGTTGGAAATCTCAGAGAGTGAAATCTGCATGCTCCTCCCATCTGACCTCTCCAGAAATATTCACTCACAGTTTACTATCCTTTCAATCACTCCCCAGAAATTGCCTTATTTCTCTTTTTGCCACAGGACTGAATTTGGGAAATACGCTATATATTGCCAGCGCTGTGTAGAACGTACCCAGCAGAATGGAGACCGAGAAGCCAGACCTTCCAGAATGGAAATCCTTTCCACTCTCCTGAGAAATCCCTACCACCATTCCCTGCCCTTCAGTATTCCAGTTCATTTCATGAATGGCATATATCAGGTAATGTCATGCAGGCCACGAAATCTGAGCTCTTCCAACCCCCTGCTGTCAGCATATACACGAAGCAGTGCATCAAAAAGAGTAAGGTAAACATGGCTCAAGTTTCGTCCTGTGCCAGTGCCAGCAATGGCAGGCACAAAGTACTTGTGATCTGATTTGATCAACTAAGAGTAAAGGTTTGGGGGAAAATCTTGAAGAAAAAAGTAAAACCTTGTAAGAGTGAGAACTGCCAAAACTCTGTTTCTTATTTAACCTGACCACCAGATGAATGAATTAGACTGAAGGAAAAGGAAAGGTATTAAATTCCACTTCCTTTCATCAGACATCTTGGAAGTTAAATATCTCAGTGAAGGCCTGGAAGCACAGCTGTAACTCCCATTATCAGTCCTGAAGGATAACCATATTTGTTACAGAACAAACATGGTTCCATTCTTAACTCTCTGGGGACATCATTAGTCAAAGCCCCTAGGAAACATTCCATGGGCTTCCAAGCATGCTGCTTCACATCCTGGTTTATGTTTCCAGCTGTGAGAGATGGCTGAGAAGAGTTTTAACAATTCATAGTATTCCTAGATAGAAAGAAACTTTTTATATGAAATCAAAGCTATATCAAATATTTTTTTTTCAGATTGTCACAGAAGTACTTTGCATTTTTTCATCTCTAAGTTTCTTGATTGCTTACTGCTTGCCCAGTAAAACAGAAAAAACCAACATCCTTTAAATCATCCTAAAGGGTTTCAAAATTGAAGTTTGGAGAAGAAAAGGAGTAACTGCTCATTAGTTATTTACTGCCCAAAATTGTATAGTTACAAGAGCTAAGAAAATTGTAATTAAATACATAAATTACTTCAGTAGGATCAGCAAATAACAATTATAGTGGTATTAAAAACTCTTGTCTTAACCTCTGAAGATTCATCAGATTTTTATTTTAATGCCAAGCACTGAGAAGTTCAAACAATAGTTCATGATCCATTTTCAAGACATTTTTTTACCAAAACGTTTTCAACATGTCAAATACAGGAAAACACTGTCAATACAGACTGAAGTGAACATCAGCCACTGCTATCTGTAAAGAAGCTATCTGCCATCTCTTGCTAAAATGCTTCAATACCAGTCACAGCAAACAGAAGTTCATATCTGGGGAAGTAAAATTTAGAAGGTTCTGTATATTACTGACCTGTGTAATAGTGACAAAGCAACATTCATAAACTATTTTAGATCTTCCAGTGTAGATCTGTCACCTGATTTCCCTCCAAAGTTGCACATGATTAAAAATGATTAATTGATCTCATTTGCTTCTCCACTATATTGAAAAATGCAGGAAATTATAATCTTCATTTATCAAATAGTATTTTTCACAAAAAGCTCAGATACTAGACTGCTATCTGTCATATAAATTCTGTAACAGAATTCCAAGTGTAACAAGTGCAAGAAAACAAATTCCACTAAACTAACTTCCAATGTGGAAATCTTTTTCAGGCCCTTTATGGCAATTTTTAATTTCCAATTACAGTAATGGATGAAATGGGTCTTATAGTTCCACCATTATTCTAGAAGTATTATATTTCAAAATCTTAGATTTAAAGGGGGAACAGGTATGTGTTTGATAGCAGAATACTATTTGGCTTCTTTTTTAGGTTGTTGGGTTTGATGCCTCTACTACAGTAGAGGAATTTCTGAACACTCTGAACCAAGATACAGGGATGAGGAAACCAGCTCAGTCAGGATTTGCACTGTTTTCTGATGATCCCTCTGGCAAGGATATAGAGCACTGTCTTCAAGGAAACATCAAGGTAAACAAAAGCCTCTAATGGACTGTGCATATAAAAAAATAAAGTATCTTCATTTGACAGAAATCTCTTCAGACAATGTAAAGGAAAACGTTTTTCAGGTTGAAAACTGTCTTTTTTTCTTAATGTGAAAGGAAAGATTTTTTTTTTAAAAGATCACTTTTTCAGTTGCTGAAGTTCATTCAATGAACTATAATTAAAAGCTTTCTCCAAGAGATCTGTATTATTCAGAGAAGTAACAATTGTGTTAAAAAACAAAAAGTAAGCTGTTACAGTTCTTTAAAACTAAGGAGCATTAGAGTCAAACATGGATTTAGAGATTTCAGTCAACATTTTTGATATAGCTCCAAAAGATGACCATGTGAGGTCCAAGAAGTCATTGATACTGGGATGGAGATCCCGGGAAATTAAAAAAAAGAAATTGTTCTTTCTCTAATACAGAATAGACTTAAGGCTGAGTTTAAGAAATTTCCAATTTTTGGCTTGCCATTGTCCTGAATTCTAAATTTTAGCTCCCTCTATTGCTAGAATTAAATTCTTAGCAGTAAAATGTGACAAAACAGAATATAATCTGTGTTTTAGTAAAATATTAGTTACTTTCCAAGTCTTTTAGCAACTAATGAATCATTAATTTTTTGTGTTTCTACCATGTAGCTTTTTGCACCCTTTGGCCAATGCTCACAGCTGCACTTTTGAGTTACAAGGTGTGGTATAACCTGACCTTGGTGATAAACAAGCGGTGTCACCACAATCAGAAAAATTACCATATGGAAAGCAAAATTTCTAAAGCATGTACTTATTTTCTAGGTAACTGTAACTTTAGAAACTACTCATGTTACTGCTTCCAGGAAAGCTCTTTTATGAAGGAATAGTGACATGAAGCCCAGTTGGGGTCCTAGGATCTCTGTTCTACCTCCTCCCCATCTGCCCAGCTACCCACCTACACAGATTGTTGTGAACCACTTTTGGTGCATTTTTAAACAAACTTCATTCCAACTTTATAGCAGTTACTAGAAAGGACCTGAAAAACTTGGGCATGTAGTAGAAGGCAGAGATCAAAGGCATTTGATTAATTATATAACAACTCGCTCTGTGTTATTACACATTCATTGGCAGCTGCTAAATCAAGTACCTGGCCTTTCCATGTCATGGCTTGTTTCCAAAGGTAGTGCATGTGTTGCAGTATAAACAAAAACAAAAAATGTTAATTATTAAACACTTTGACTAAGAAATACAAGTAAGGTTATACTTCGGTGAGTTTAAAAATTCAGGCTGTGTATGTATCTAATAACTGATAGGTAGAGGACATTAAAATAAGTTGACAGTTTCTTTTCAAGGTGTTTTCAAATAGGAAGACATGCCAGTTTTGTACTGCTTTCCTTCTAGATCTGTGACATTATTTCAAAATGGGAGCAAGCCTCCAAAGAACAACACCCCGGGAAATGTGAAGGCACAAGGACTGTCCGCCTTACTTACAAAAACAGGTTTGTTTAGCAAGTATAATATCTCTGCCTTGTCCCAAGATTTGTTTTTCAGTTTCTGCAGTTTCTTCATCTGAGAAACACTGGCTGACTTGAAACTTGCAACAAAAATAGTAAATGGGTGTAACTGGACAATTTTTTTTAATAGTTACCTTTTTTTAGTTCTTAAAGAGGTGAAGAGGGCTGCAAAAAATTCCCACTGAAGTCAGAAGACTGACATGAAATATTTACCCATTGGTTCAAGTACAAGTGTTCCTCTGCTAATGTGTTTTGACACTGAAATAAACATGTCACATTCAGAGCAGATACTGCTAATCCTCAGGGCTAATGCATTTCCGTGTCTTCTTTATTTAATAACTTTCTGTCTTTTCTGTAGGCTTTATTTTTCAGTTCAAGTTCATGGGGAGACAGACAGAGAGAAGCTGCTGCTAGTGTATCAGACAAATGATCAAATAGTCAATGGACTTTTCCCTGTAAACAAAGAATTAGCAATGGAATTGACAGCCCTTTTAGCTCAGGTAATCTTTATGCATGGATAACACACACAGCAGTTTTTCAGGAGAAAATCTTAAACAAACTGATCCAGGATTGCTTGACACTCAATTGACCTTCACCTTTTACATATGGGTATGCAGGAAACAGACTGGGCTGGGATCTTTGTGTAAGGCAATTCTTAACTGGTGTGGAAATGCTTTACAGCATTCGCTGCTGCTGGCACCAGTAAGGCTAAAATGTGCTTTCCCTCTTACACAGCAAGGCTCTCTGGCATTTAATATCATGTAATCATGTACCATTTCTTCATTCACTATTCCTTCCATGATTTCTGCAAGTTAATTGTCAAAAGTAACAGCTCTTCAAAGTCTAAGAGTCTTTTACTAGGCATGGTCTTGATAGGATGTTTTATTTTTTAAAAATTAAAAGCTCAAATGAAGGGTTTTGAGAAACTAAATTGTAAATGTAAACTGATTTGTGTCAGATGGAGATACAGCAATCTAAGAGCAGAAGTAATATTTTGTCTGTAAAATTTGTGTTTGATATTTAACTTTTTTCCATGGTAGATAGAAAATAAGAAAGAGAAAATCACTAGTGTGACTTTTTTATCAATTAAAAGTATACATTATTTGACAAATTTGCTTTCTTTTATACTTGGTCAAACAGATCAGAAGATAGTTCATAATATCCAGCTAGAAAATTACTTTAGAGTAACAAAAAACTTTTTTAATGGACTTTCCCTTAGGTAGAGATTGGAGATTTTGAACGGCCTTTCTCAACTCCAGCAGGGCAAGTCACTTCCCAGTCCAAGTCCAACCAAACACTAAAGCAAGTTTTGGAGAGATTCTACCCTAAGAGATACAAGCAAGGTTGTTCAGATGAACAGTTAAGGTGAGATGGGTTTTTTGATTCATATTCTCTAAAGATTTAGGAGCGAAACAAGGAAGTTTTAAATTGTCATTGGGAATAACATATTGTTGAGCTATATTTGCCTAAACTTGTGTTTGAAACTCATTTTCTTGCTAATCTAAACAACCCATTTCCTTTGCACATTTCTACTCTAAACAAAGGACCATCATTAATAACACATTCCAGCAAAAGATGTAGCAGTTACTACATAGTGTTACAAAACACAGTGATTTTGAAATTCTTATTTTTCTTACACAGCAAATCTAAACGAGGTCTGAGTGTGCAGGGACTAAAGAGTTACTGAAGTAAAGGACATGAGGACATGATCTGTTTGTTATTCTAGTGTGCAATCTCTGGCAGCTAGTCCAATTGGCAATGTGTAACTTAGTGGACTTACTGGTAAGGTATCACTTTATTTAAAATTAATAACCTGCAAGGCATTTAAATCAACACCTACTGACATGAAAATGAGCGAAACAGTGTAATAAATTACAGTGATACAGCAGTTTTGAAGTCCAGTAAACATCATAGAAATGTTCTTCAGTACAGAAGATTTTCAGGTTGAGAAAATGTAAAGCTATTATTATATGCTCATAGTAACATTATTACATAGAAGACAATGGGGCATTCAGACTCACGCAATTAACTTCAAAGAACAAATTATAAAAGCTCTCAGATTAGATTTAACTCATGGAGGAAAAGTAAAACACCTGTTGAACTCTTTAAGTAGTCCTACACTACCAGCTGGCAGAGCTGGAGATCTGTGGCATGGGAAGAATGACTCTGTGCCTGCCCTATTGCCTGTATTTTTTTTGCTAAGGGTGCAGTTTGACCTCATAAACAGCAAGACCAAAGCTGCAAGTGATGGATCTCCCTTTAGTACCCATTAGCCCTCCCTTTTCTTGGGCTACATCTAATAACCTTATGGCCACTGGGTAAGTCATCCCTGCAGATCAGTGTCCTAGAAAGGTAGTCTGGTCTGGGGGTTTTTTGAGAAAATTAGTTTTTCCATAGTATTGAACCAACTCACCAAGGAGTCACACATTCACAAAAGGAGACAGAAAACAGCCCCAGTGTGAACACCCTGTGCATCAGGAGTGGTGTTCTGGGTAGCAGTGCCCAGACACACTAGAAGGGAGTAGTGCTAAGCCACGTCTTTCACGCCTCCTACCAGCCACAGGTAAAGATATGTGCTAAGCTGGATGGATTTTTGGAATGACAGCTGACATAGCTGTTGAGTACTGATAAAGGTACATTGATTCTCTGTAGAGACACGTTAAAAGCTGTCCCAGACTATCTGCTTTATGCTGCAACTGCTACATCAATATTTAATCATAATGTTCCAGAAATTAGAAGATATTTCATCATTTTCATGTGCATTAAAATACTAAATGACATTTTGGATTTATTTAATGTTGTATCAGTGATAGTCCTTGTATTAACTGAAATTACCATTTTAAGAAATGGATTCTTCTGTTGCTCGTTAAACTTGCTGTGGGCAAGCATTGGAATTCCCTTTAGTAAGTAAATTCCATCCTTCATTTCAACAGACAGCTTTGCCAGCGACTGTCGACAAGATGGATGGCTCTCCGTGGGCACAGTGCCGCAGACTGCGTGCGCATTTACCTCACCGTGGCCAGGAAATGGCCTTTCTTTGGAGCTAAATTGTTTGCAGCAAAAGTGAGACATTTTAATGAATTTGATTGGGGAGGGGCAGGAGGGGCTTAAATATAAATAAAATTTGCAAATAATAGTACATTTTTTAAAAAAATAACTGTGTATACATGAGCTGATTGAATCTCCTGTCAAACTACTTCTTAAGTCATAGACTGGTGAAATATAATAGCCATAGTACTAAGTATATCATAATAGTAACTTTCCAATACTCTTACTGCTTATTTTACATTATTAATCTGTGTATCCATTTCCTTCTATCTTAGTTTGAGATAGCCTTTTAGGTTTAGACTCTTTTTGCTTGGTAACTAATAGAACATTGAAAAGGTATCATTATCTGGCTGTAGAAGCTCAACCTTGCAGAAGGACTAAATGTGGTTAAAGGCATTTAGAGCACTCCCTTCTATGCTGGCCCCTTCTCAGTTTCTCTTAACTACTGGTATCTTAATTCTCTTGATTCAAATAACAGCTCTGTTAAACAGAACTGTCACCTCATGCCTTCAGTTTTAATAGGTAAACCCAGCATGTGTGTGTGTGTGTAAACATATATATGTATATATATAATTGCTTGTCAGCACTCTCTTCTTTGTGTATTGAGATATATGAGCTAGTGGACAAACTGTAAAGACATCTGACTATTTTATTAATGAGACTATATGTTTTATTGGACTAAGCACCAGGGTAGGTTTCAAGCGTATTAGTTTGAGTTCATTGTTTTGCCACTGGCCACCTACATGGCTTTGGGCAGATATTTAAATTCCTTTCCTGAAATTTACACTGAGAGGGAACTGAAGTGAGAACTGTGGATGGAAAGAGATCTATAATAGCTGAGAATAATAATTATTCACATACTGCCTCCTTTTGAAGTAGTAACTAAAGAACATTTCTCTTTGTAGCCTCTAGCAACAGCCTCAGTTGAGAAGTCCTTCATATGGTTTGCTGTCCATGAAGATGGCATAAGCATCCTGGATTACAGCTCCATGGTAAGTGAAATTTCTGTTTCAAATTTGGTAAAGATAGATTTTAGTACTAATTATTTGGAGAGATTCACCACCATACTATCTAAAAGATGGCATTAGCTTTCCATGCTAAGTTATGTAGTCCTTCTCTTAAAGCAAAAATTCATTCCTTTTAAAATGCTCTGTTATCATCATTACAGTAGCACTAATAATAGAAGTAAGTAATGCATTCTTTGCACAGAATTTATTTTTGTTTATCAGATACAGTTTTTATATCATTTAATGAAATGTTAATGTTTTAATCATTCAGATGTCAGGAAATCCTTAGTTATTGTAATGTTATTACAATAACATTAATTTTCTTTTCCTGGAGACTTAATTTTCCAGTATTATTCATAATACATACACTCTGCAAAGAGCAGCTACTTTAATAGATTGTTATTTTCATTGTATTATTTTTGTTTAATAGTAGGTAACATAACCCAGTGTTATTTAATTATGTCATTTTAGGCTCAGATTTTTCTTTGATTTGCAATACAAGTTTTCATAGAAAACGACTCGTAATCAGTGTAAAAAGCAATGCCTGAGAAGATCCCTGCTTTCATCTATATCCTGCGAAGAAAAAGAATGGCATGCTGCTATTAGCAAGTGCTAATATTGAATATCAGAAAATTAAAATCTCAGCTTTATAATTGTGCTGATATGGGTCTTTTCATTACATTTCTTTGCAGTTAAAGGAATAATAAAACAAAGAGCATGAAGAGAGGAAACAGCAGCTCTCAGGGAACAAGCAAAATGTGCTTGCACTAGACTGCAGAGAGCTCTACAAACACTGCTTCTGGAGCTATGGCATTTCTGTAGGGCATTGCCACGTTAAGTACTGGCAGGCCTTACCTGACATTCAAGGAATGCTCAGCTTCCAGGCAACGTTGGGATTTTCTGTAGGAGGGATCAGGGATATTAGAAAGGATGTTGCAAGGGGTAGAGATAATAGTATTTCAAAACTGGAGCAAAAAGAGTTTTGCTAAGGAAGGACACTAAGTCACTTATTGTAAATACTGTCTGACAATGAATTTTAAATGCAAACATCTGCAGCAAATTAATATGAGATGTAACATAAATTAAATGCTGATCTTAACTCGAAGGCCGCTATTGTGGTGTTAAACCCTGAACAATAAGAATCAAGGGATAAAAAGCTGAGGAGCCTTGAAGAGCATTTTTGTTTCATCAGAGATGTGAAAAAAAGAGAACGGAATTTAATTTGTGTGTTTGCAAAACATACCACTGCACAAAAAGAATACCTGGAGTTAAATTCCTTCAGATGTCTCATACTCTGGCATTTAATTTATTTAGATACTGCTTAAATTTCAAATGGAATTTGTAAGATTAACTTCTTTCAAAGTCAATCAAGATTTGGATAAATGGAATTACATACTTGAGTTGAAACCTTCTTATATTTTTTATCTAATTAATTTGGAATAGAAACAGAGGTCAAACTTAGGAGAGTTATCATCTACAGTGAAAATTCCTCATCATGAAGGTCTAAATGAAGCTATCCCAAAATTCATAGTTAATTTCAAGATTCATAAGAGGCTACCTCCATTGAAAAATATAAGTGTAATTATATTTTTAAAAGAAGAATTTGTCATCACATGTTTTTCCTGCATTGTCCTGCTTAACAGCTTTGTGTTTTGTTCTGGGGGTTTCCTTTTTTCAGCGACTGACTGTTACATACACATATAAGAGCCTGATGACTTTTGGAGGCTATCAAGATGATTTTATGCTGGTTGTTAACAATGCTCAGACAAAGGACAAATCAACTGAAAAACACCTTTTTGCCATGACAAAGCCAAAGGTTGGTCTATTACCTGAAACAGTTTCCATCTGCTTTTGTGCTCTCTCTAGTGGGTAATCCCTAACAGATGTGAAAGATGAAACTCCCTTTTTTAATCCCAGCCTGCTCAGTTTCCTGGCTTTGGCCAGATGATTTTGGAGAGCAAGTAATTAGTACTGTTAAGGCTAACTGTGACAGTACTGATGTGTTCCTGTTCTTTTCATGTCCCTGTCTGTAACATTCCAGATTTTTCATAGAAGGACAAAGAAGGCTTATAAGGACAGAAATTACATGCAGTACCTAAAACCTACTCTGTTTGCCTAATCAGCACCACAGATGATTTTTCAAAAAGTACATTTGGGATCTATGGTGAAACTGTAAAACACAACATCTGAAAGATCAGTCATTTCTTAAAAATCCTGGAATATTTTTCCTATTGTTAAAAGGAAAAAAAAAAGAAATAAAAAAGAAAAAGTCCTGCTTTTAAAATCTATATTCACTCCTTCACTGGTAAGACTGACTATATTAAACGAAAAAAAATCCCAAAAAACAAACAAAAAACCCCCCCACAATCTAAAGGTTTTGCTGTTAGTTTGAACAAATTTATAAAATAATACGAAATTCCACATATAAATTTGGTTCAAAACATGATTCTTCATACAAATAAGCATAGTAAAATACACATGTGAAAGTTTCCTTCAGATTGTGCCCTTACAGAATTACAGAATGGTTTGGGTTGGAAAGGACCTTGAAGTCACCTAGCTCTGACCCCGCTGCCCTGGGCAGGGACATGTTCCACTAGACCAGGTTTCTCAGAGACCCCTCCAAGCTGGCCTTGAACACTTCCATGGATGTTGCATCCACAGCTTCTCTGAGCAAGCTGTTTAGTATCTCAGCAAGTTTCATATGGGTCACAAAGAGAAAATATGATAAAAAACCTCCCTAAAGTCTTTATTCCCTTCATCTACCCTGCATCTTGAATTCTCTGAGCTCTGGTAAAACTTTTCAGGGTGTCATCTTTTGGACTTCAACATCTCTCTCAAAATTAAAGAAGTCATCTCTGAATCATTTAAGACTGTGGAAGACAAAGTATCTTTGATACGTCCTGATGGGAATAACATTACATTATTTAAAGGAGCAATAAAAAAAAGCTTTATTAGTTATCTCCTTTCCCCCATCATTAATTTGTTAAAGTACAAGTACTTATCCAGTTGATGGTGATTGTCACTTGCTAAAAAGTTAGCTATTTTTTCAGCAGTCAAAACACATCACTGTATTTTTCAAAGAGTTTTGTATGTTCCTGTTATAGATTCTTGAGATCACTCTACTGATTGCCAGCTACATTAACAACTTTCATCAGCTGAAAGGAGTTGCTCATCACCTCTCTGCTCCAGCATTACTGGCACCTCAGAGTGGACAGAAACTCAAGGAAATGGGGAGCCAGCCACTTCTTGCAATCAACAGACCAACTAAATGTCCCACTTTGTTATGAACGAATTATGTATCATAATAATGCATCCTTTTTAGAGGGTTTCTACATGGACTGAAAACCTTCTGATGCACAAGATGTAGAGCATAAGCAGCTCCATAAACAAAGGAAGGTGGACAGGTTTGCATTCATTCAGTTGCATATAAAAGGAGTAGCCCTTAAATTAAAGCTCTGGCCTGAATTGGAAAGACGATGAGTCAGTTTAAGGGTTATGATTGACTGGGGGTTGCTTGTGCCTGCAGCTCAGAAAAAAAATACATCTGTTTATAATGATGGAGAAAGGTGTCATGGGAAAAAACTGCATAGATTTTACAGTTTTACAGATACAATCTCAGGGACCAAAGTGTCTTCAACTCTTCATCTCTTATTTTTCAAAATTAGACCAGCTTTATAACTTTCTTTTTGAAAAGGGATTTTTGTTTAGAAAAGCAGTCAAACACAAAATACTTTTCACTTCCAGCACCATCCTTATTTGCAATACAAGTATCATGGGACTAAAAGGAACAAATTGTGTATAATTGTTTCTCCTTTGAAAAAAACCCCAAACACATAAGCACATAATGTAACCATTACAAATTTAAAGAGCATTGTCATGATACACTCTAGCCCTTGTTATACAGCTGTTTTACTTGGCAAATCTTCAGCCTTGGTCTGGTAAATTTCTAAATAAACCTTCTCTGCTCCAGCCTTTTGAAAAAAATCTAAATTGGATAGGCATTGTATTTATTACAGTTTTGTTAAACAACACCCTGTACCTCATTTCTCCTTTAATCCAGAATAACAATATAATATAGATGGCAAGAACGACTCACAATTCAAAACACAAGAACAACACAGAAAACCATTGACTGAAATGTTGTGAGTACACTTGGAGACCTAAAATCCATGTACAATATGTATAATATATATACATTGAGTCTGAATAATATTTACTTCTTGTTTTTAATTTGTATCTATACATTTCCTATTATAATACTAATATAATGTTCTTGCACACTGAAGACATGATGCTGCATCTGCACTATTGGACCTAGGAGCACTTTCCAGTTGCCTTTTTCAGGTGCAAGCCTCAGTGCTACACAGGTCAAATGTATAGAAATTACATCCATTGTTTTCCATCCAGTCCTCTCTTTTTTGTTCCAATGCAAATAAACCACTTTGCAGACTCCGAAATGAATCAGCACCGTACTTTCACAGATAATTTCGGTACAACCATGAAAAAGATACTCAAACATAAATCACTGATTCATGGACATTCTACAGTTTCCACTTCAGCTCATGTTAATAATCACGGATCATTAATCCCTTACAGCCAGTCCTCATTGGTTTTTGTTTGATTATTACTTAAACTGAAGTAATTTCACAGTGAAAAATCTCTGGTTTATGTTCTTTAAACATTTCAAATGCTCATACTGAGAGAAAAGGTATTTTCATTTTTTTGCCCTCTATTAAAAGCAGGGAGTATCCTCCTAAAGAATTAAAACAGACTGGAAGGGAGATACAGGCCATGAAGAGAACAAGGTCTTAAAAAGGGGAAAGGCAGACAGGCAAGCTGGCTTTCTTTAGAATGCTCTCAAAGTCCTGCCATGGCTACTGAAGTCCAAAGGACTCAAGCACCACTGGATGAATGGTACCACGGGCCAGTGCCTCCTCTCGAAAATTACAACCAAACAACTCACATACTACATCCAGATGCTTTCACTTTTGCAAGATGGAAAGGGCTTCCTGGTAACTTCCACCCTTTGGTGGTGGCTGGGGCACTAGACCTTTCTCTTTCCATGAGGCAGGGCCAGCAGGAGGTTTTACCTCCTCCTTGGCAGCCACTCCCCTGCCATCATCCAGGGAAGCATCTTGGGAGCTACAAGAGACCAACTGCATTATTTCTTGTGTTGTGCCCCATGAGAAGTGGTATAGATCCCATGGTGAAATTCATTTAGGAATTAACACCCCTTTGCAATTAGCAAAATAATTTACTTTCAGATTTGAGGAGGTAAGGGTGCTTACAAATACAAACATGTTACTGCATCAGTTAGGTCACAGTATAAAGTGTCTCAAATATGATTAAAAACTTCAATTTACAAACACAAAAGTCTTCTTGTAATCATGAAATTATAATAACCTGGAATACTCCAACCAGTAGTATTTCCTAATTGTCCAGTTTCAAATGAGTATGTGGGAGATTACCTTCTGTTATTAGAAGGGAAAAAAAGTGGAGCATTTTGCTAGTGAGCTTGATAATGTAGTTTTTAAAAATCTTTGTTGAATTTTAAGACAACATGACAAACAGTACAACCAGCTGATGTGCACATTTGGAGATTTCATTAACAACATTACAAACAGTTGTTGCATAAAGCCCTGTACAGGCTATGAGCAGAGTATGACCTTCCTGCCTGCCTTTGGGTAGGAAACTCTACAGACACTGCTTTGCTTTTTTCGTTGAGCTCTTGCTGCTGCAGTATGTCCCTACAACATCGTAGTCAGAAGCAATTCATGCATTAGTTCCCTTTTCTTGGCATGACTGTCCAGACTTACGAACTGCTTGTTGGTCACCATTAATCCCGCACAGTCACATGACCAGAATGCTGTGTTATTTTATGAAATAAATGCACTCACAGTTACCGTGACAACCCTGTATTAAACAATGGACCTGCTTTGATTAGCAAGAGTGAGGTTTCTGTAGTGACAGTAACCTCAGCAGACACTTCCCTTCAAGGTAACAGGGTCAGCAAGTGGAGTCCCTTTCACGTGCAAGCACACTCCCTGACACAGCTCTGTATATCTCAGGGCCTTGCTCCACAGCAATCAAGCTCCAGACCTACTTAAGGAATACCACACAATGCAAGACAGCAGGCTGAAAATTTCACACTTCAAGCAGATAATCTGTTCTGCCTTGCCCACCAGCCCAAGCCTCATGAGTGATCCACAGCTCTTAACCTTGAGTTATCCACCAATGTGCTACCTAATCCACGACTAAAGCCCAGGTAGGAAGCTGACCTTTCTCACCTCAGCAGTGATGATTCTGTGGGAGCTGTCAATGAGCAGCAGCTTCTGGGACTGTTGCTGGAAAACTTCCTATGCTCAAAGCTTGCAGAACCTAGGTTGTAAAAATATTGGCAGGATGGGATTAATATGTTAGCACATGCAAGGAGACTTCACCTTCTACCATGAACTTCAGAATACCTTTCATGCTTGCTTTGAGTTAGTGGTCAGAACCAACAATCCGTGTAAATGATCAATGAATCTGAGCTTGACAGTGACTGAAAAATCACTGGTAAATGTCTGTACAAACAATCACATTGCTTTGAAAAGACTATTTGGAATGCAATGTAAATTAATATATTACTTGACTTTGCCTTGTCAGTTTTTGAGCAGCAGTATTAGCAAAAGAACAGCTGATTTCTAGAACAAGCAAGACCCCTTTACTCCTGTAGCACACCAGGGAAATGATAAAGCTTTAAGATGTTAATACAATCCATAAGTTCAATAGGTTTTGTTATTTTATATTTACATTTTGTTTAAATTTGAAATAAAAGCATATATTTCCCTATGAAAGAAGGCTGATAGGTATTTGATGTTGAAGTTCTTTGTCAGACTACCAGTTCTCATAGGTTTTAATGGTTCCTGAAGGAAGAAAATCATTCTTGTGTAAAGGAATGCAGAACTTAAAACTTCAGGTAGAGCTTTAATTGTCAATACAGCTTAGTGCAATCCATTAGTTTGAGTTAATTTTAACTAAGATGATAAGTAACTCAGTAATATTGAATTAGGGGGAAAAAAGTTTTGTATGTGTGTTGTTTTGGGTATTCTTTAAAGTTTATTAGGGCAAAAGAAACACAGAAAGTTAAAATATAAAATACCGAAAACTCCAATTTAAATCCCAGATTGGGTTTCAGTACATTTACACACTTTTGCTGTGCTCAGATCTGTACTGCAGCATCTTCCCGACATCCCGACATGCCACCTCTGACTGTGAAAATACTTTGCTTTTTATACTCTTGTTGCAGTAATGCCTGCATAGGTCATAGTGCCAGGAGCAATTCCTACCATAGCTTTGCTGTCTTTGGCAGAGCAAGAGCAGCTTTGTCCAGGGACTTTACTACCTCTAGATGCTGATTGCAGATCAGCACTGGCTTCATGTATACACCAAGATATCACAAGTGTTCTGTTGAACTGAAATTGATGAAAGAAATGCACTTAGACAGACATCATCGTGATCTGCACAGTATAACACTACATAATTAAGTTTATTTCTGGACTTTAATTAGTAAGACCATGGTTTCCATAGGAGGTTAGCCAATTCCTGATAATTTGCATGCAAAAATCTGGAAGTAACTAAAAACAACAAAAATAGCTATATAAAGGCTTGTGGAACTGAAACTGAGTGATGATGCAAGCTAAATTTAGAAAAAATAATCGCATTTAAAGAATGAACATTACTTAAGGTCAGTGTTAGGATACTCAGCCTTCTTTGGGTAAAGAAGGAATGGTTAAAATGAAATCTGAGTTAATCATTATAAACGAGGCAAATTTTCCTGGCTTTGATCAAACAGGTAACTGAATGATTTTAGTCAGGTTTTTCTGTCTCCACTGTCCAAGATAGAAAGCAGAAGAGAACTGTAACTTCTGTCCTGGATTTTGGGCCACTTCTCTGAGGTAAAAAACTTTAGACTTGTTGGGTTCACCTACATCCTATGCCCATTTCATACTCAGGGTCATCCTGCTGTTTTACTGAACCCTTTAAATCCTACTTTCTAATCCAAGCCCAGCATTTTTGGACTTGATTTTTTATAATCTTATTTGAAATAATCAAGCACATGTTTGTCACCGTGTCTTACTTTGAATGCCCCTTGTAACTACGAAGTCATAGAAACCCAGAATGGGTCAGGTTGGAAGGGACCGCAGCTGGTCATCTGGTCCAACCTCTCTGCTCAAGCAGGGTCACCCCAGAGCACATGGCTCAGGATTGTGTCCAGATGGTTCCTGAATACCTCCGATGAGGGAGACTCCACAGCCTCTCT